AGGCCCTCATGTCCTCCGTTAAAAGATGAACAATATCTTCATCCAAACACCCCAGCCAGGTAGGGGTCCACGTGAAGGGTAGTACTGATGTCTGAGGACATTCATGCCGCCATCCTATAAATCAGTCTTGACCTGTTTGTCTCTCTGACAAATATCAGTCGAAAGGGTAAGGGAGCCAGGCTCCAACCTGTTTTAAGCCATGATGACACGAACAAGGGACCTGCCCACCTTCTTGGAAAGGACAGGATCGACGATGACCTAGGAGGACAACTCCTTAGAAGCATGTACAATGGGTCGCATGTGGCCTTAGTGCTGTGGGCCTTCACTCACCCTCCCCACTCTACAGATACAGACACTATTAGAATTATAAAATCCGTTAGAAATTCTATCAAGTCCTTGGCAAAACGAACCAAGTGTTTGAAAGAGAATATTGAAAAAAACTTCCCCAAAACACAATGGAAAAACCTTACGGCAATGTGTGTATAAACTTTCAAAGATCTTGACCACACAACCTGTTTCCACATGTACTCCTGAGAGGACTTTCCCTTCTCTGAACGCCTCAAAACTCCACAAGCCAGAAACGACTAAATGGATTGACATTAACGCCAGTCAATCCACCGTAGAATTGACATCGACACCGAGGAGGTAATTGATTTGTTTGCCGCAAAGAAAGCTAGAAAACTGAATTTGACTTTGTAAAAAGAAGTTAATCTTTCTGTAATAGAATACCTGAAAATACCTATATCTATCTAGTATTAATTGGATACAATTTGAACAGATAGAGAGAAAGATCTCTGATGCCAAAATCATACATTTAATCAAGAAATTCTTTGTGAAGAAATCCTTTCTGAGAAGTCACACGCCATTAGAAAATTAAATAATATGAAATTATTGTGAGCACAGATGTTATTCTGTACAATAATGTCCTCATTGGAAACATTATGTTGATAATAAAAGTATCATATATGTTCTTGATAAAATTTTTGAGTGAGAGATTTTCATTAACAACAGAAACAACAGTCAGATAATCTTCCTTTAATTGTCCTCACTTGATGAAAATTGTAGAGAAATGACCAATTAAATTTTTTTTCAGAATATCTATTTGAGAAAAAAGCTCAGCTGAAGGAAAGAATATATTGAATCAGAAAATCAATTGCAGTGGAACTCATTCACCCTTGAAATTATGCAAACTTTAAGAAAAGGTGTAAGCATATGAAACTAATGAAATAATAATTGAAAATATGCTTTTACAAAGTTTCAAATTAATCCTAATAATATAAAATCAAAGAGATATTGTATTGGCAGGAGTACTCCTCAAAACCCTACTTACGATAATTTTCTTTTGGCGTCCATTTTGTGTTGTTTATATTCTTCTTAGCACACATACATTCATCAGTTATAATCCCTATATTAACTACACTTACACTTCAAAAAATATTATTCACGTTCCACCATATTTATAGAAATACGGCAAAAGCAAATTACTCACTAATCACTAATGTCAAATTGTCAATACATGCAACGTTCAAGGCAAGTTTTGCCAAACCTAAGAAATAACGTCCAAAATATCCCTAATTGATACGGTACTAATAGTGTGCAATATGAATCACAGGGTCGGCTTAACCATTTGGGTATCTTATCAATTCAAAACTGTGATAAATTTTTCGGTAAATTTACATTCACTATCTATTCGAAATAAATAGTGAACGTTTTGAAAAATTTGTTCATTAAATCAATTCCACGTCAGAAATTTCAGAATATTCTAATAATTGGTATTTTTTATTAATGAAGATATAGGTACTCTAAAATAATAAAAATTGTAATCAGAAAAATAATATTTATTATTCTCATAAGCAAAGTCGTGAAAAATATCTGCAGTAGATTAATGATTATATTCATTTCACTACTTTTACTCCTTAAACTAACATTTCCAATCTCTGATGATGATCCTTCTATTACTCTACTGAGGAGTTACCTCAAGTAGGCAGGGTCATGTGTAATATAGGGCGTTATCAATCTCAAGAAAATATAAGGTGAGTTCCATTCACAGTTGGGGCTATAAGATTTTCTCTTTCGCTTCCTAATTATTAGTAAATGGAAGCAGCACTGTTTGGCTAGGCTTGTCATTTTAACAGAGTTCACTTTCACATACATATATCAGTAATAGTTTAATGCCAATGTTGTTTTATGAAAAAATAATGTTTCGAATGTTGATAGGGATAAGATATCACTATCATTCAATTTTGAATAAATTTGCAGGAATGGGTCGAAAGATTTTTCAACTCATTCGACCTCCCAACACTGTGCGACCTATAGAAGATCTTAGGTACATAACTCTAAATTTTTAGGCCCCGTGCTTGACATTCGAATAGAAGTTCTTGCATTTTCGTTCTCTAAGTCTCAACTTTCAACGTCCGGTCCACCTATTTCACTGAGGTGGACTGTTCCTTTAAAATGGTCCGTTATCAATCTCAAGAAAATAAAAGGTGAGTTCTATTTATAGTTGGAATTCTGAAGTTCACAATTTCGCCATTTTTGCTAAATAGAATCAGTACTGTTTTGCTAGAATTATACTAGTTGCGATATTTTCTTGTAGACAATCTTTTTATCATTCATTGTCTTCTTTCCGTTATACGTTTCAGTACTCAAAGGGCCAAAAGCTTTGCTGTCATGATCTAATATCAGACAACGCTGTTTCGATCTGGAATATATCTCATCAGTGGTGCTACGTCAGCCAGAAAGAAGTGTTTTTTTATAATTCATTTTTCAAATAAAAATAGTTGTTTTGAAAGTTTTTTTCTTCGTGTAATTCAATTTTTTAAATAAATTACTTTCTTCCTATAAGTTTGCTGTTTCTATAAAAAAAATAACAGGTCTTGGCATTACAATGTCAGAATCACAGGAGCAATGTTTCAAAACTCTTCAAATTGAATATAGTTTCTTTTGTGAAACTTCCTAACAACCAACAAATAATTTTTCGTAATAAATATCATGACAAAGTTTTCACTTTATAGAGATTGAATCCAACAATAAAATTTTATTTTCAGATGTACTTTTGATCAGAGCAGAGACGAACCAAATCATTACAGATTTGTACAAAAAACCAACCTTTCTGGGAAAGATTAATATCACAAAAAAAAATTGAGGGTAAATGTTGAAATTCCAGCTTTGCCGTTCTTCTTACACAACTACTTGAGATCCAGGAAAATGGGATAGAAGTTTCTGAACACATTGAGCCGAAATTAGTTGACATCCCTTCATTTTTCAAGAATTTTGTTTCTATCTTAACTGTTTGTTATTTACTATATTCAGTCAGAGCTTTTCGTCTCAGACTCTGATCAGCCATTTTGAAAAGTTGTGTTACTTTCTTTTAGGCTTTTCACTTCTACTTTGCTACTTCCAGACAGTTGTTTTCATATGTGTTTATCATGCCATTTTGAAGTTGTCTGGTGACTCTGTCAAGTTCCGCAACTGTGTGCTCAGATACTGATGGACATTTATATTTTCCACTCTATTTTTTTTTGAGAACATCTCAGTTAGTCATTGTGGGTAATCTGAATCTCTATACACTTTACTCCATCGATCCAGAACTTAAATGCTGACATACTCAGAACCAACGGTGATACTTAAGTCCACATTGTGGACTGTATTAATTTACAACCACTGGTTCATCTTTTTTTGAGAACATCTCAGTTAGTCATTGTGGGTAATCTGAATCTCTATACACTTTACTCCATCGATCCAGAACTTAAATGCTGACATACTCAGAACCAACGGTGATACTTAAGTCAATTATGTGGACTGTATTAATTTACAACCACTGGTTCATCTATGAAAATCAATCCTTTTCAAGCCGCAAAATTACATGAAAAAAATAATCCATAAAATAGTCAAAAAAAAGCTGAAAGTAATTCCAATATTTTCACCTATTTTTTTGGCAGCTTAAGAAATAGACCATTTTCTTAATCAAAGGCAAGCTGACATAATTTCTGTCGGAAAATATTAATGCAAACTCCTCGAAAAAATATTCAGAACTGAACAGAAACTTCTGGCGTGAAATGGATCCAGCACAACACTACTCTCACCAATAAAAATACAATACCCTTCACGAAGGGCATAACATCAACGAAATTGGCATTATCAGCAGTTCAATCATAGTATGTATCATCTCCTGAAACCTACTATGGCTGGTGGAACGGTATTGCAATTATACTGTGTGGAAGCAGTGTTGAATAAAATAATAGCTATTTTCTGTGCTTGTGGTGTTTGTCATAAATTGTTCCAACTTCTGAGGTCCTCAGAGCCATTAAGGTACCGAACTGGAAATGTTGGAGGTAAGCACCGGTAGAAGCTAAGAGATTCTGTTTAAGGCCATACTTTCTTCTCACTATTTTATATAAAGTTGAAACACGTGAAAATGTGAAACTTATTCGGAATGTGGCTTGATTCAGGCCTCACTTTTTTCCCAAGTAGAATGTCTGTAAAGAGCTCAACAAAACCTATTACATTATATTATCCATATAAAACTAATGATGGATAAAGGATATTAACCGGGGGGGGAGGGGGAGAGTGGGCCAATTCAAACTGGAAAACTCACTGAGTTATGTGGGATCAGGCAAAACATTAATTTCAAAATACGTGGAGGAACGAACATCAAATATGTTTTCGGACCACATGACACCGAAATACATGTTTGACAGGAACTTCATGATTGAAGTCTCAAACTGCGAAGAGTGGAGAATGGATAGTCATCCTGAAAACATGTCCGACTGAAATTACCGTTATACAAACAGATCAAAATCCGAACATGGAACAGAAACTGGAATTTAAGTGAGGGGAAAAATCTGCAGCTCAGTTACCCACTCAGTCAGTACACATCAGTATCCCAGGATGAAGTGTTCACAATCTTGCAATTAGCAAGGATTAGTAATTTAAAGTGTTGTTGATTAGCGAAAAAAACTGTCATGAAAAGTTGTGACATATAAAATAAACACCATACATTTTTGTTGCTATTAAATATATTTAAAAACTCGAAAAAATGTACAGCTGCCTATAATACATGGTTCAAATCAAGGCCGATTCTATTTACAAACATATTTTATCAAGCTAGATGGCAGTTGAAATAAAAATATATGTTATTCTATCTCTATACTTTATTCTAGACTCGAGACATTCTTTAAATAATTCCAATGAATTAGAAAAAATATGTACAATCTGTCAAAAAAATCACATCACAAATTACTGTGCTTGACAGTAGCATAAAAAAATAATTTTTATACAACATATTAAATTAAGATAAATAATGATTTCATGAAAATGTTTCGAATAATTTCACAGAAATTCAAAATCCATAACAAAAACAATTTAAAACCAGTCAACAGTATAAAATAGTACCTTTTGATTCTATTCCTTCAATAAAATAGTCTTATTGTAACTGAACCTGTAGTTCAGAAATATCTGTCATATCTTCATCTATGTCACTGGTATCAACAGTTTCAAACTTTTGAACGAACTTAGTTTCAACAATTTCTTCATGGTCAGTATCTGTTGTAATGGTGGCAACATTGATGCCGGAAGTGGAGTCAGTGGAAGTATTATTCTGAGTATCATCTGCAGTCGCAACAGCTAAGGGCTTAGTCCGGCCATATTTCTCATGGATGTTTCGATGTCTCTTGAGAGCAAATCTGAAATGATATAGAACTAAAGATGCCTGAAAACCTAAACAGAAACTGTTGTCATATGATAATAGCTCATCAGACTACAAAAAATACTAAATGATTTTCGCATTAATGTTTTTTTAGAGGAAAGTGTATTTTTAATTTTCCACTGTTTCAAAATGGTTTTAACACTCTTCTTTATGTACTGTGAGAAAATAACATGAAGGTTAGAATCAATTTGTTGGCATTCAAAATGTGGTTTTCAATTTATTCTCTACTTAAAGCAATTAAACATAATTACTTAAGCATTTTACTTATTTCCAGGGTTGCCAATGCTGTTCATTACAATCACTAAAAATATTACTCCGGATTCCAATATCTGAACTACATAGAATTTGTAGATCTGGCAACATAGGATTTTTTCCCATTTTATTATACTGTTGTAGCTGACTACAGCTATAGCCATTTTTCCATATTTTTAGCAGAATAACCCTACTGGATATTGCTTGCTGAAAATTTTACATTACTCACAAATTACTGCAGTTATTTAGGTAAGTGTAAAGGTCTGGCTAAAAAGTAGACTCAAACAAAAGGCTGTGAATGTAACTTTGGGAAAGTATTTAATATGCCCAGTTTATTGATATCTCACAATCAATTTTATCCAAGAGAACAGATTTTTCTCTGATTTTCATGACTAAAAGTATGGNTTTCATGACTGAAAGTATGGATAGGGAAAGATTTTTACACATTAAGATAAATTTCATTGGTGAAACTCCAGTTATTAATTTGTAATCAGTTGTGTATGTATAATCAAATTTAATATGAAAAATAGAAAGTGTGAGTAATACAAGCCTCAAAATTGAAATCATTGTGAATGGCAATTTCTCTATCTACAATATATTTCATGACCTACTTTTGCTTTTTCTTATTTACACAGATTTGAACCTGACAAGAAGAACAAGAATTGTTCAAGTAATATTTTACGAAATATTACATTCTTTAATAATAAAAAAAACTTCAATTTCATATAGCAGAGGTATTGTCGAAGGAAATAATCTGTTTTTCAATCGATAATTGGAGCATGAGTGGTTCGATCCTATCATTCAATCGATTGCTATATGGAATGGTGGTTTGAGACCGACGAACAGGCGAGCCATTTTTACTGTGTACTGTCCAACCCGTTCTAGGAATCACACCTCGAAAGAAAATCCGTAGCTCGCCTGTTCTTTGACTCTCAGGGTTGTCGTTTTGTAAAGGAATGACAGTTAATTAACGGAAAAACGATTTTTAAATGAATGATACTAGATCTATAGTTGAAGGCAAAGCAGTTTCCAGAGTTAAATCATTTGATATTTGTGTAAAATAAAGGATTGACCTACAAAGTTTCTTGGTTGAAATCCTCTTCTCATGAAGTGAGATTACCTCAACCATCTTCATTAAATGAAATGGATTAACAGTATGTGTGCAATAGTAAAACACTCCAGTTTCTACAATGTATCATAATAATGAGCTTTTAATAATATAAAGATATTGATTATATTTTGATTCTAAACCATATTGTCAGTACATAATTTATGTATTGTATTGGGAAAAAAAGTTTTTGGCTGTGGGAATCTTCCAAAGAAAAGAAGGAAGTAATCATTTTTAAAATAAGTAACTCTATACATGGATGTGTAGATCATGCAAAGAAGTAACTTTCAGACACAAACTGAAAGACAGTTCTCCTGAAACAGCTACTTTCATTTAAACATTGAATTACACAAAAGAAAAAATTCTTTACTGAATTATACGAAAGACACTATTCTCTACTTAATTTGTATTCCAAACATTCATTATGGAATGAAATCACTATTTAAACATGTACTATTTACCACATTTTATGACTTGCCACTTGTACAATGTACTTGATCCATGGTCAAATAACTGCCACTATAACTAATACTAAAGCTTTGGGAATGTATACCCATAAATTTATACTATATGGTATTTTATGCCCTTGGAGTGAAATTATTTCCATTGATGTGTAAACACAAATTGGATTTATTTACCAATTCTGTGAATAATTTTCCATTCCTTGAGTAGTTTTAGATCTGAGATGGATAACGCATTATCCAATACAAAATATCACATTTGCTCACTAGCAATAAATACCTTTTGGATTTACTAGTCATTATGAACAGTTGTCTTCTACATTTCTGTAAAGCATATTGCGGTAGGTAGATGCACAATGAATACGTCAGTTTGTAACTACATTTCCTTATGACAATAAGGAATGATTTTCTCAATCATAATACTAGATGTTCCTCATTCTGTGGTTCTCTCTAATATAAAGTTTTGTGAGTAATTATCATTCTTTAGCACAAAAACCTGCAGACCACAGTTAATAAATCTGGAAACAGCAAATAGTCTGTTAGATACCGGCAGTCAAATTCTACACACCAAGATTGATTCTCGGTCTTGTTCACTGGGTAAAAATTACTACTTGTTCTGCAAATTTTTGGAAAATCTTACTGGTGCGAACCAGAACTCACCGGTCTGAGAATCCAACAGAACATATATCACATTTGAATGGCTTCTCTCCTGAATGAACTTTGGCATGATTCTTGAGATGAGTTGCCTGGTTGAAGCAAGACCCACAAATGTCACATCTGAAAATTGAATTTTTTCATTTAGTAAAAGTAACAGACCCAGGCGTTGTCTAGGACTATATAATTTAATTGAAAAAACAAAAACATAAAGGCCAAAACAAGCAGAAGTACACGTTTTGGTGCAAAGTTCTCCTAGTTTTCTCAATTTAATCAGAATCTAATTCGGATTTGTTTTCCAAATCGAACACTTTTCCCAAACACCAGAAATGCAATACTCTTCAGGAGATGGAGTCTTCAGTTTTCTTCATCTCCTGAACATGCCAACTTGACGAATTTTGAACAATATTTGCTTTCATTTTCATTAATTTCAGATAGCCTAAATATTTTGTCAAATGTTGGTCACCAACTGATTAACGGAAAAACAGATTTTAAACAGAACAGATTGATTTTGGAAAGTCAAATTTCAATATTTGAGCTTATTTTTGGCCAAATGAAAAAAGGTACATAATTTGAATTTATGTAAGGATGACAAATCTAATAGTTTTTTGGTTTATACAAGGCTCCTTGTAGTTCAACTTGTATATACACCTTATAATTTTGTTTCAATTTGTTTCAATAAGGAATTTGTTGCCATTCCCCATACTGATATAAGATATTGAATTTTGAAATATACTAATGAAAAATAAATCAATTTAAGGTATTTTAGGGGTAAAACATTTCTTATTTTGAATAAAATTCCAATTATGGGAGCTATTTTTTTTCTTATTGTTTCAAAATGTTTTCTCCATGATACATTTTCATCTAGAATAAGACCAAGAAATTTAGCACTAGGAGAGTATTTAATATTTTCATTATTAAATTTAACTGGATCTTTTGAATCAATTGATATAGACCTTTTTGATATGAACATATATGAAGATTTCTGAAAATTCAGTGTCATTTTATGGCATTGAAGCCATAAAGATATTTGATCAAGGTCTTTTGAAATATTAATTTTGATTTCTTGTACACTATTTCCATTGTAAATTAAAGTGGTGTCATCAGCAAACATTTGTAACTTACCAAATAAATTTACTGTAGCCAAAGAATTGAAATATATAAGAAACAAAACAGGTCCAAGTATTGATTCTTGCCGTACCCTACATATTATTTTTCTTTGAACTAATTATGTCGCCAATATAGACATATCGCTTTCTATTCATTAAATAACTTTGACATCAATTATAAACTAAACAGCTGATACCTATATTATGCATTGTTTTATTTCGGATTTGTTTTGTCACTAAGTAATTGAATAACTAAAGGAATGAAAAGTTCATTTTTCATTTATATTTTTCATTGTTAAAATTTGAATAATTTAGTTTATTTGGAAATTTGTCACGAATTTGGTAACTGTCTTTTTCCGTTATATTCAATTTTTCAGATTAATTGATAAAAATATTGGATATGAAAGTCATGAAAATGTTTTAAACAAATGTTAAATTTATGAAAAAGAATTATTCTCTAAAAATGTATCTGACTGAGGTGAACCAATGCAACATATTATGAAATTAATTTCAGCTGAATTTTCAATCAAAATTTAATTGAACTGAATAACAATTTGATAGGATAGACACAAAAAAAATACATTAAAATTAAGAGGAAATTCATTCATAAAATTAGTTATCCATTTATCACTTCGACAAAATAAATTCCAATAAGTTTCCGATTAAAGTGAGAAAACTGGAATAACTTTGCATTAGAAATGACGAACTTCTGGGAGTGCATTCATTTTTTTTGGTAATAGGTCATCAAAAGTATTTTTCAGGTAAGATATTGCTTATAGGTTTCATATATTCATCAGAAATATGAATTTAGAAAATGTCAATTTTGATANTCACTTGCGAACTTCACTGGTGTCACTGTATGTACTACAACAAAATATTGGTGGATGAGATGACTAGACTCTATCTCCTTTAATATGAAGAATGTAAATAGTGTAATCAATGAAATTTTACAAATATTTGTTGATCTATTAGCTATATCAAAATAAACATTATTAGTAGTGTTTTTGCTTGGTCAATAAAAATGTATTTGGCTAGTTAGTAAAAGTAAACAAGATTTGTATGGACTTTAATGGTGAAAGGACTTGAACTTGCAAACAATTTTTATCAATAATTTTTTTTTCAAAATAAAACATTTTACCTGTAAGGTTTTTCACCAGTATGAATTCTTCTGTGATTCCACAACGTGGAATGCCTTGCAAAAGATTTGTCACAGACCTCACAGACATACGGCCTCTCTCCTGAATGTATCCTTTCATGATTTTTCAGATGAGGAGATTGGGAGAACTGCATACCACAAACCCCGCATCGGTATGGTTTCTCTCCGGTATGAATTCTTGAATGATTTTTCAAGTAAGCTGCTTTTGCAAATGCCAATCCACAAATGTTACATTTGAAGTTCTTCTCTCCAGTGTGAAGCCGTTTGTGAGACCAAAGTGATGAGTATCTGCTGAAGGAACCTTAAAAAAAGTATTTTTTTCATTACATTCAATACGAAAGATCTTTGTATTAGATTCAGAATCCAAATACTCTCAATTACAATATTGTTGGTATCAATTTTCTTCATGGAATAGATACCCAGGTAAAAAAGATCATGAAACGAAATTATTATCATGGATTTCATTATATTTCTTATCAATAGTATTTTTATTATATTCATTTATCATCATTATACCATTTTAACATCACTCGGTATATAAAAAGTAGATTTTGGAGATTTAATATTTTCATAAGTTTTTTGTTACAAATAAGGCATACATAAAGTCAATTGATTGACTCCTACATGGCAGGAGATCATCATGAAAAATGAGAATTGAAGCTTCCTTCCTATGTTTTTATACCACTTATATTTGTAATTAAAGTTACTGCAGTTTCTTCCTATGAGGACATTTTCAAACGAGTTTATTAATATCTATTTTCTTGAATTCATTTGAAAATGTTTATTTTATTGAATTCGTTTGAATAATAAAAACATAGTAGGATTTGATTCTCAATTTTTCATGCGAAAATATGCACCAAAATCCGAAAACTGAGTCATTGGAAAATATACTTTTCAAGGAACCATTCGTCTACGTAAGACATTCTTATCATTCGGTTGCCTTGATCATAACCAGCAGCACAGAAAGAAACATGGAGTCTCAAAAAATGGTTGAAAATGGGTTTTTCTAATAATTAACTGTTGTCTCCATACGAAGGAGCACCCTTTCAATTAGTTATTTCTAGCATGGACCAAAACCATCGTCCCAGAGCATTAACAATAGCAGTTGATTCAATGAGTACAATGAGTAATAACATAATATTTACTAGTGACTCTTAATACAAATTTATTTTACCTTGCTGCATCACTACTCAATGTTCATTGGTGTTTTATTCACTTGTAAACAAAATATTTCACTAATACTCACCATTACAAATATTACAATGGAATGGTTTTTCAACATTGTTCTGCTGGTTTTTGGTACCTCCAATAAAGATGATTCCACTGCCATTACACTTTGTGCACTTTGTTACACTAGCCACTCCTCTTCTTTTGACTGGATGATGGTTTTTCACCCCTATGGGTATAGAATTTTGGGTTCCTTAAAATGTTCAGCAGTTTATAAAATAATTTCGATTAATCTGTACAATTAGAGATACTAAACAATGTAGTCTGTTCATTAAGAAATGAACTGAAAATTATTTATGATACATAAATGTCTCACCTAGTGCTTGAGTTTGTGTTCCTGTACTCTCTTCAAATTTCACTGATGTATCAGGAGCCGTAGCAACTACAAATATTTGTGGTTGAATTGCCTCTGCACTCAGACAATTCTCACATTTTACTTTCATAACGGCTCTTTTTTTATTATTGTCCTGGGGTAAAGGTGCTCCACATGACTGACAATTTTTTATTTTGAGGGTATTCTGTTGTTGAGGCTGAGGTTGAGTTTGAACCTTAAAAAAACAATATTTCAGATACTGTACTATCAAAAACTCTAAATGGTGTCTACTTCCTAGAGAGTTTAAAAATCATACAAATTCACATAAATGTTTTCAAAAAATTTGATATTTTTAACAAGATCTATCTATGAAATCAGTATAAGAACCCTCTCAAGTTGTGATTGATCTGCAATGGTGAGACACAAGCACTCTGAAATGGGGTATGTTGGTTATCATCTGATGAAGTTAAAAAAATCTCTGCTGGTAAATATAATGAAAAGCATTTGTAGCTTCTTTCAAACAAGCATTTGAATAACGCTACAAAACAGAATAGTCAGAATAGAATAATATTTCAATTGTAATTGAAAATATTATTTTCCCCCAATGTATTTATTTGTCCCTGACACTGCTCAGATAACCGAATGTATGTTGTGATTCATTTAGAAATAATAGTCGACAGTACGCTAGTCATTAAATCTCATGACTATAAATACTCAGTACTCTGAAGGAAATGTAAAAATGTAGAACTGTTAATTTTATGAGACGGCTGAAGATAAAATACATTCAAAGATATTTTCATGTGAAATCAGTAAATGGTTTTCATTAGTTGATGTAGGATTACTTTCTAAGTAATTATTAATTAATATTACTGGAGTTTTATCTTCCTCTTGAAGATGATCACTTGGTGATCGAAACACGTGTCGAAGTGTAAAAATAACGATTTGGTGTTGGGGAAAAAACTCCAGTAATATTCATTACTACACCAAAGGTTCCAAACAGTATATCACAAGTAATTATTAATTATCGATGGCTATGAATTAGTTTCAAGTACTCACTTGGACATTTATATTTGTTTGTAAACAAGCTGTAAATTGAAAGTACCCAATAAATAAAGCAATAGAATGAACTAGAACCAATCAATACAAATTTGAACTTGAAGTGGTTGGGAATAGTCAATTGTTAATACATTTTTTAGGAGTAACCAGAAGAATAAATCTATGTATACCTGTTGCTGCTGAGTTTGTGGTTGGTGTGACTGTATTTTGTGAGTCTTCAAGTCATTTTGAGTACTGAAGGTAAGTCCACATTCCTCACAAGAAAACCTGATGCGGTCAGCGGAAACAATCTGAATTTGAGTTGCCTGTTGTTGGGGTTGCTGCACCTGAAATTATTTTGATAAAGACATGTAGAAAACTATCCACAACTCAGAATAAATAGTTCACTTTGAATATTCTGTTATATCTATTATTGCTTTTCTTTAACTAGAGCCTAATTTTTTTTTATTCAAAAGTTCGTAGATATCTATGATGTATAAAACTCAATATACTTGGTATTTATTTTATTTCCCAAAATTCAAATAACACAATTCAAGAATAAGGAAAATATAAACTTCAATTTTGAAACATTTCATTTAGCTTGCCTTGTTTTTGTCTTGTGTAAATCAAATCTAGTAATTGAAATTCTACCTCCCTTTTAGCGAGAAATAAATTTTATCAGATAATTAGTGTTACACAAATAGTATTTAATAAATAGCAGAATTAAAGAAATTACCTGAACTGTAATCTGCTGTTGCTGACCTTGATTCTGATCTGGTTGTCCATGGTTTACTTTCTTATGATGGTTCAACAATGACAAGTGGGCAAATATCAATCCGCATACATCACATTTGAATGAGATATTTGAAATAGCATTTTGGGTCAACAAATTTTGATTCACCAAAGTATAATTATAACTGAATGGTTGAGTTATATAGCATTTGTCATCAGTTAACTGCGACATATTGACCGTAGAGTTGTGAGTCTGAGTAGTGTTAGGGGTTAATTTGTGGATCATATTGACATTTGCATAGCAAAATGGAGCAAAAGTGTCCTTTTGATCTTGATTTTTATCTTTTTCATTTTGTTGAGGTTGCTGATATTGAATTTGGGACTGCTGCGTTGTTATGGCATTAGGATCGAACATCATCGGGATGATTCAAATAACTACCCTGAAAAATATGATTGGTAAATTAAGTAATAATGAATAATCTTTATTGTCTACATTTTGAAATCACCAAAGTGGGGATGCCCACTTCAATATTGAGTCAAAATTTGTCCAGAAAAATAAAATGATGAATAAAAAATAAATCAGAATGAATTACTAAAATGATAATTTTTAATAATTTTATTATTCTCATTTAATTCTTTAACCTAAAAACAGAGGATATCCTATAGACATGCAATTTTTGTTCGGATTAGCACAGAATATTCCTAATCCTAAATACGAAATTTAAATACATCAAATAGCCTTTAGTGGACTTGTAATATATATACTTCAGAAATATCCTATGGACATCCATTAGTATAAAAAAATTACTAAATTTGAATACATTCCCAATAGGCAGGCTATGGAGCTCTTTTCAATTTTCACATATTTTTGATCCAAAGTTAAATATCATTATAATTCTCAAAATAAAGATAATTGCAGTGGTGGTGATTAGTTAAGTACTGTATCAAGTTGGAGGAATACTAACAAACTTTCGTTTTCATCTTCATAAATCATGGATTCCTTCTCAACTTCAATACATTAGACAACCAGTGAATATTTATGTTCATTTTTGCTTCAAAGTATTTTATCAAGTTCATTTTTGCTTCAAAATATTTTATCAAGTTCATTTCACTTTTTATTAGAATTTTCATTACAGTTGGCATTAAAAATTATTTAAGGAAACATTTGTTCAATGTCTCTCTATTTTTTTTACCAAAACTGAAATATGGTTTACGATTTTGATGTGGATATAATTGAATTTTCACAATAGGTATGAAAAGACTAGAGAAAGTCAGAACGTTCTATTTTCATGTGATATCCCTAAAGTATCAAGACTTACCACTTTTTATGGAAGGATCTTCAGTTCAACTCTGAATTTGTATAGGTTGGTATAGTTTATTGGGCATCGATAAAATATCATTTGGACATAAATTAGATGTCGTATACGTGAACGTATATCTTCAATTTCCAGAGCAGATATCTATCATAGTTTCATTAAATGTAATATCAGGGTGTTCATAAATTCCAGATATAGTTAAATTTTTCATTTGGAAAGTAACATGATAAATGTATATACGTGTTTATAATTTATATTTACAGAAACCAGACATTCAATTATGTATTAGTGCCCACATCCTATTGAAGAAACAGGAACATGAAGTAATATTCTTCAAAAATTTAAAAACATCACACAAAGAATATAGTGCTAGTGGAAGTATTAGTTTATGGAAACATATACAGAACCAGAAAAAATAGGCAAGTACTAAATTATCCTAGTTTGAAAATTAAGATATCCAAGATTTGACTGTTCAAAACCCTTGAAAACATACTTGAAAAAACTTTCAATATTTTCATTTTCAATTATTCAGTTGAAGTAATCAATATTTAATTCTAATAATTTGCTGTTTTGATGGCTTTCCTTTTAGCTAGATTCAAGTTTGTTAATTTTGAAATACTTCTACAGTATTAAATAACTATTACAAAAAAGGGAGTTTCCAAAACAATTACATACCTATTGATTATAAATCTAGTTTTGACAAATCAAACTAAAAAAAATTGTAATTATTCATTTTTATTTCGTACTATTATTTAATCAAAAAAGCAGTTTTTTCCATTATTTCCTAACCCAGTCCTATCATATCCATAATCAAAACATAACGCATAATATATCCATGAATTTATAGAAAATCCAAGCCAATGCAATCACTGTTGTTAAAACTCCTGCATACGGCCACCTAGACATTTACAAATAATTAATAATTACTACCATTTATTAGCAGGTAGCAGATTTGTTGGTCGATCATACATAATCTATTTGGAGAATCATGCCTAAAAATAGAATATGCATCGACGATATTTGCTGCTTATTAAAAATGTTTAATGAATATATTAACGTAAAAGAAAAAAGCCGGTTCGGATTCACAATATTGAAAATGAATTATTAAATACAAGTAGCAATGTTTGTAGGCATAGGCAATTTGAAATCCAAAGGGGTGCGGCAAGCTGCGTGCAAACACCAATTGCAATATTAAATTGGCAATAAAATAACATAGGTATCACGTATCCAATGTCTATAAATTTGAAAATTCCATTTCACGCTGAAAATTTATCTCTTTTTATAACAAAGATGCTGATAAAATGAAATGAAATAAGTAGAAGCAACAAAGAAAACCGTTTACCTTCTCACACAAAAATATCTTCCTTGGAAGACGCGTATTTCAAAACTAGTGAAATAATTCAATTTTTAGCCGGGGAACTAAACCGAATAACGAAAATATTTTGGCCAGGACTAGTTTAACACTTGTGAACCAAATAATTATAAAATTATTCACTAAATTTTGCAAAAATCCACAAAAACAATTTGTTCTGTCTCACTTTAGAAAATGGCGGATAGACCCATAGCCATCTTTGTTCCCCTCGATGCTCGTTGCTGTCGGTCGTGTCGGAAATCAAGCTACTGCGCATGCCTAAATGATATATTACGTTTACATTCATGGAATACACAGAGCAAGTAATTTAGTGAAGTATAGAATTAGTATGTTTTAATTAAGAGAATTTTAGTATTGATACTAGTATATACTGCAGTATTGATTACTATCTTTCGTACTTCATAATTCGAGCACAAAACCAATATGTTTTAAACGTGATTGTGTCTAACACCATTGTAACGGGAATTTAATTTGTTTTGTCCGTTATCATTAAAGAATTACCAAGGTCAATGACGTCACTATTTTGACACGTGTTTGAATTGTAAATTTTTCAATGATGTCTACACTTTCAGCTATAAATTTACTCATAGGTATAATAGAAACATTTGATTACCATTGGTTGATTAGAAATGTTCATTTTGAAGTGCAATCCTAATCACCTTTCACGAAAGCTAAAAAAATAAAATATAACAATACTACTAAAGTATGATATTGTCAATTGTCGATGAAAAATAGAGGTTTGATAAAAATATTCAACATTTCCATCATTTAAGGTAATACTTTTCTTTCAATCATCAAACCTAATAACCTTTCACAATATTTATTAAAACCTGTTTAATCGATTCATAGAGTACACGTTTCTATGTTAATGTTTCTATTATGATATACATTTTGGCGTCACGTTTGAATAATATTTTTTTTAAGAATTTACAGATACGCCTATTATATATTTAAAAGTGATAGTAGGTAATCAATCGTACAAAAAGTTAGTCAATGTTTCAAGAGACGTGAATTTCATTTTTGAATCAATTTTCCTTATAATCTCTATTCTTTAATACATGATCAGATTCAAAATGAAACTAGAATAGTTTTAGGAGAGAATAATGTATGGAAAAAAACTACTCCTCCATTATCAAACAAAAAAAAAGGTGTCAAACTTCCGAAGAAAGGAAGAAATGAATTAACTCAAATGAAAACTTTTTTCAAAGATGTGCACACAAAATTTCTTTCGTATACAAACTGAAAGGAAAAGATCTACAGAAATACTTTTTTTTTACGATTTGGATGTACAAAACAAAAAAGCTTTTTTAAAAATGATCGGGATTCTTATATGATAAGAGATATTACATAAACTTAAACAATTTTTTTGTTAATAGCCAAGCCGGTTCTGGATACGATGTAAAAAGTTTTAGTAACATTTCATGTTTCCCCAAATAGTGAAGGTTTTGTGGTGTGTGTTGGGTTGCGATGTCGGATATAGGAAGTGGCGATGAAGGTTCAAGTTCGCAAAGTAAGTAACTTAAAGCAGTGTAGTTCGTTTCATGAATCTTTCAGAAAATTCTACTTTCATGCCTTTTGAAAATCATTTAGTAGCAGTTATCATATTCTTCGAAAATTGCTGAATAAATTTGACAACTGAACCAAAATGGCGAATTTCAATTGTTCTCTTCGAGAACTTTAATAAATTTGTGATGCATTTATTGTATTACAGATATTTTTGGACTGAATAAGTATAAAGTAATATGTGTTTTTCATTAACATAATATAATTTTCATTGAAAAGGGGCATTAAGTATGTCAAAACTACCGCAAAAGATCTGCAATAAGTTAAATATTGTCGTAGTCTAACAGTGACCTTGGCTAACGTCAGTTGGGTTACCTTTCAACCAATAGGAAATGGCATTTTACAGAAGAATGGCCCTAAAGAATGAAATTGAAATGTTCACAAAAATATATTGAATTATCTAGTTTAGAGATTATTCCTTGAGATCTCAAATAGATTTTCAAAAACTCAAATAAGTTATTGAACTTTTTCAGAATATCATCAGGGAATGGAACAGGGAAGTGAATATGATTCAGGTATGTTAAAATCTTTATTTTTGCCCTAAAAAAACAATATTTATTACAAAAAAATTGTTATCAAATAATAAAGGTTACAAAAATTAGGTTATATAATAAACTTGGATTTGAAATGCTTCATGAATGAGGTTCTTTTATGATGACTCATAAAATACCAGGAATTCCATAGTAACTTCTTTACTATAGAATTTTCATAGAAGTGATTCATGTCCAGTTGATTCAAATCCTTTGCCGGCTAAACTACAATCTATTTTTATTTGCAAAAAATGGCAGCAAGTGAATGGAGTTTTGATAAAATTCAATATTGGCATGACCCTAGTATGTAATTTTCACATTTTTTTTATATAAAATTTTTTATATTTCAGTAATGTTGCTATTTTCTTATTTTTTCATAACATCATGACCTTTTCAGGTCAGCAGGGGCAGGTTGAGCAAGAGTTGGCAACAAAGATGTTGCAGATACAAAGTAAACGTTTTTACTTAGATGTCAAACAAAATCGAAGAGGACGTTTCATCAAAGTGGCAGAGGTATTGCTCTATTTTAACCAATGTTCCAAATTTTAACTTATGTTTAATTAGATTGGTGCTGATGGAAGACGTTCGCAAATATTTCTTGCATTATCAACGGCTGCCGAGTTCAGAGATCATCTCTCTGCCTTTAGTGACTTCTACTCATCTCTCGGTAAGAATGAAATATGATGTAGTGATTTCATTATAGTTTGCAAAATTTTAGGACCCCCTAACCCGGACAATGTACCGGAAGATGGCAAGCTGAAAAGTGAAATGATGATAAAAGATAATCGCCGATACTATCTCGACTTGAAAGAGAATTCCAGAGGACGTTTTCTAAGAGTTTCTCAGACGATAACCAGGGGTGGACCACGCAGTCAGGTGGCCATTCCAGCCCAAGGCATGATTGAATTCAGAGATGCTTTAACTGATTTGCTGGATGAATTCAGTACTGATGAACATGCTTACAAACCTGACTTACCAGAGGGCCGACATATGCATGTTGATAATAAAAATTTCTATTTCGATATAGGTTGTATTTCATAAAGGTTAATTTAGAACATATTTATTTATTTATTTTTCAGGTCAAAATAATCGCGGTGTCTATATGCGCATTTCCGAAGTAAAAACAAATTTCCGAACAGCTATTACTGTACCTGAAAAAAGCTGGCAGAGGTTCAGAGATATCTTAAGTGATTACTGTGACAAAATCAAGCAGCCATCACAAGCCTCTGGAGGAGGTATATCTTCTCAAGATCAACCACATCCTTTGGTGAGTTTGTTAGTTAGGTTTCAATAATATAGATTTGAATGGACTACTGTAGATGTACATAGGTATCATGTTAGGGTGCCTTTGTGTTGGAGCAGCGATAAACAATAAGATGGTGATAAAAGCTGTTTACAACATTGACTACAAAACATTTAGCAATTGATTCAAACATGTATGTTTAAAAACAAATTTTTCTCATTTGGTTTTCACAAACTTGTTCTAGATGTACTTTTGAATTTAATGTATGTATAATTAAATCACTACAAAACACAACATTGAAGAGTTTTTGGGAAAAAAAGGTTTTAGCTTTCTACTTCTCCATCTTTATACAAAAAAAGTGGGGATCTTCCAAAGAAAGGAAGAAAACAATTAATTTCAAAAATTAACTTGTTACAAAGATATGTAGATAATGCAAAGAAGTAACTTTCAGACAAAAACTGGAAAAAAACCCCTTTCATATTTTTTGTATAATTCAATGTTCTTGTAAAATTAGTTGTTTCAAAAGTAATTTTTCTTTTGTGTAATTTAATCTTTATATGAAAATCTACATGTATCGAGAGGGCTTTTTCTTTCATTTTTTATCTGAAAGTTACTTCTTTGCATGATCTACATCTTCATGAAGAATTTATTTTTGAAATTAATTGTTTTCTTCTTTCCTTTGGAAGATTCCCTCATTTTTTTGTATCAAGGTGGAGAAGTAGAAAGCCAAAACCTTTCCCAAAAGTTACTCTCCTAAAAAATATACCTCTCTCAATTTAATCAAAGGGTTATTGTTATCCATATCAATAATAAACAAAAAATTGTTATGAAATGAATAGTTTTCCTTAAGTAATATTTTTAATGTCACCGCATCATAATTCCACAATTTAACAAGAACAAATCCCACAGTGGAGGTCTGACAAAAATTTGACGAATCAATTCTTCTATATCCATTCTCGATAAAAGTTGAGAAAAATGGATGGTAGATTATAGATGCTTTTAATACCAGTCATAGCCCACTAGAAGCTCTTTCCTTCATCACTGCTCCAACATAATTGGATCCAAATATACAATAGAAAATTAATTTCATCACTACAACATACATAGCAAATCTAAGGAGTATATGAATACTTGTGTAGATTGTTTCTCATGTGTCTCACAGAAGTTTAATAGATTGGAAATGAGACACTCGGTTCACATTGAATTTATAAAACAGAGGGGATGCATAAAGGCCATATTATTCAGATGTGTTTAAAATAGATGCACAGTATTCAAAATGGGGTTGGATCATTGATTTATATACCATAATTTTTATATCTGTTGATAATTTATTGGCGATTCTTGAGAAAAAATATAAATTTTTTGTAATCTTTTTTAAATATACTTGAAGTGATCGTCGTATCAAGTTGAAATCTCAAATACTTCACTGATGTTACTATTTCTATACGTTCATCTTCAATTTTTATATTTATGTTGTTTGTTGAGTACTACAACTTGATTTCTACCTTCAAGATATTATTGTAACCAGTTGTTAACTATTTTTAATACTCCCACTTTTTCCGATTTGTTAAACAATAGTTTATAGTTAATAGTGGATAATAGTACTCAAGTCAAAATACAAGGCTCTTCTTCAAATATGTTGAAGATACAAGTTAGTTACCTATTTTGAACTGCAGGCAAATTAGGAAAATGTAGATCACCATCCACCTAGTCAAAGATTTGCAGTGAACACAAAGATTAGCATCTGGCTAATCCTCATGTCAGGCTCAGTTACACCATACCAGCAAGCCACTGACCAGAAATATTTTCAAAGAAAATATCAAGAATTAGGGAAGACTTGTACTTGCACTGAATATTGTACAGAACATTAATTATTTCTGCGGAAGTTTAATTTTAAAACCCTTGTTATTGTTAATCTTGTTCATTCACATGTTTACATGTTACATACTATAAAATGTATGTTTGTGTCAATTTTCCTGTTTAACCCTGTATAAAAGAGAATTGAGAGGTAGATTTGTAAATAAAAAGTTGTTGTTGACGGTACGAAAAAATTATCTTCTCATTTCTTCATATTAAACAAAAACCAAAGTCTTGCCCAAATCGAAAAGTAAAACCAAGTCAGATACGTAAGTGGTCCTTCGAGTTTTCAATAAGAACAACCCTGTGGAAGATGTCTGCTTCACGTTCAGTACCTTTAAGAAGAGGTGAAAGGATAAGGGCAAAAGTACCAGCAATTTTTGACAACGGCTGTCAAATCCATGGCACATCTAAAACCATAAATGGAAAATATGGAAAAACTAGAAATCCCGGCAGAATTCGAAAGTAAAAAGGAAAAAATACTTTCAGAAATATCAGTTAAAAGTTCCAGAAAGTAGCAAAGTTTCAAGTAGTAAATCAATTCGACGCAGACAGTTGGAAATTGAACTTGAGAAGGAAAGACGTCTAATAGAGAAAGAAGCTATGTTCAAACAAGCTGAACTTGAGAGCCGTAGTGTATCTATTCATTTAAAACAAGACGAAGAAACGAAAACACAAACTAGTAAATCGTCATTCGTTAAAAATTGGGTGAAATCAACAAACGGTAACATGGAAAAAATGCAACTCCAAAGTTTCTCTCAAGAAGAGAGGACGGAAGACCGGAAACTGAACAAATTCATGGGCAGACAGTCGTTCAGCAAGGAACTTCCAATATTTTCTGGACAAGCTGGAGAGTGGATTAATTTCATTAATCAGTTCAATACCGAAAATATTGTGCGACTTCAAAAATGTCGTAAGAGGTAAAGCCAGACTCTGTTAACGCCTTGCTCAGTTTTACTCAAGAAGTCGACAAAATTATCAATACACTGAAAAAACGATTCGGTAGACCTGATATAATTATACAAGACCTAATAGATTGTGTGAGGAGGATTCCCGACTTGAGAGAAGACAGATTAGACAATATTTTAGATTTTTCCAATAAAATTCAAAATCTGGCAGTTACTGTGCAAAGTTTAAAACGTGATGAATATTTGTTGAATCCAAACCTTTGAACCACGCAGTGATCAAATTGAGCATAAATTTAAAAATAGAATGGGGAAAACAAATAGTGGAATTGAAACGTCTGAAAATGTCTGTCACAATTGTAGAATTTTCTCTTTGGCTTAAAGAAATAAGTGAGGCCATAATATACGTTGTTCCTGAAAGAGAACTGGATAAATAGAAGAGATATGTCTGTACCACATCCATTCAACCAGATAAACCAACAATCTTATGTAAATTCTGCAAGAAAGACGGATATAAAGTAGAAAAGTGCCACAACTTCAAAAAATTAGAAGTTGAGAAACGTTGGGACTGGATGAAAGAAAATAAAGTATGTTTCAGTTGTTTAGGATCATCACACAAAACTTTGTAAAATCTGTTTAAATCTGTTTAAAATCTGTTTTTCCGTTAAAAATAAAAGCAAGAAAACATGTGATGTTAATGGCTGCCTTTACAAACATCATCCTTTGTTACATAAAGAACCTGAAACAGTACTGGAGAACTCCGAAGAGCATTGACTTTCCATCATTCCGCCAGGATCAAGGAGTCTGAAGTTTTATTGAGAATAGCTCCTGTAGAATTAACTGGCCCCAAAGGTAAAATCAATACCTATGCTCTTTTTGATGAAGGTTCTACAGTGACCATGGTTGATGCTGTATTGGCTGAGAAATTAGGTGCTACTGGACCAACAGAAAGTTTGAAACTTGCTTGCACAAATTCTATGTCCTGTGAAGAACTCCATTCAAAGAAGATCAGTTTGAAGATAAGAGAAAAGAATGAAGATATTGAGTACGATTTAAATAATGTTAGAACTATCCATAACTTATCTCTTCCTGTACATTCAATGAACTCTAAAAGTCTATCTAAGAAATGGAATCCTCTTCAATCAGTAAATATTGAATCTATGCATTGTGTGAAACCACAAATTCTTATCGGACAGGACAACATTGATCTCATCATTGCTAGAGCAGTCCACGAAGGAGGAAAAAACCAACCTATTTTATCTAGATCGAAGTTGGGGTGGGTTGTGCATGGAAACAACACAAACAGTATTTTGGACGAATAAATCAAGAATTTTCCTTTTTTATAAACCATCAATATGAAGATTTGGACCAACTAGTTGAATATTCTTTCAAAATTGAGAATTTGGGTGTAAAATATTATAAAACATTACAACATCCAAATCAGAGCCTCTAAAATTTTGGAAGAGACGACAAAAAGCATAGCTGCAAACAGATGGGAAACTGGACTTTTATGGAAAAATGATAATCTAAATTTACCAAATAATAAACCTACTGCCCTGTGCCAATTAAAATCTATAGAGAAAAAGACGAACAGAATCGAAGATTTTTCAGAAGAAATAAATTCACTACGAAACGAAAGAATAGTTGATTCATCTAGCAGAATATATAAACTTTCGCCGATTTTAGATGCTGAAGGAGTTTTGAGATTGAAAAGCAGAGTAGTATACTCTTAACGATTTAGGCACAGACACCAAATTTTCAATTATTCTAGACCCCAAAAACTATTTCACCAAGTTGCTAATTTTTCATTACCACTGCAAAGCAGCGTATAATGGTCAAGAGTATGTGGTGAACGAGCTTCGACAACGATATTGGATTCTCAATATTAGGTCCGCCGTAAGAAGTCCGCCAAAAAAAATAATGTCTGACAATCGGACAAATTTGAGAGGTGCCGATAAAGAATTGAGAAAGTCTCTTGAAGATTTTGATCCGAATAAAATCACTTCTGAACTGACCACCGACAATATAGAGTTTTACTTTATTCCTCCCTCTGCTCCACACATGAGAGGCAGTTGGGAAAGACTCATCAAGTCAATTAAAACAACTCTACGGTACATTTTGAAGGAGAAGATACCACGAGAAAAAGTTCTTCACACATTGCTCGTAGAAGCTGAACATATTGTGAACAGCCGCCCCCTCATCCATGTATCATTGGATCATTCAGATGCCGAAGCTTTAACACCAAACCATTTTTTATTGAGC